AAAGGGCGAGCATGTTTGGTGGGTACGGGGACTCCGAACCCACCGACCCTCAGTATTGTGAGTCGAGCGCCCTAACCACCTGGCCATGCCAGGCAGAAGTAATAGTACTAATATAATGTTTTCCAATGGGGAAACGATAAGTTTTAGTGACTTATAACTCTAAAATATGGGATTCGACTTCCTGTAGTGGACAGGGCACGTTGTGTGGTTTTACGCTACAAACAACAACTAAAATCGTCCTATTTACATTGGGTATTTGGTGTTCAAAATAATGTATAAATAAAATAAAATATAAGTAATAATAATAATAAAATAAAACTGGTTGCTGTCGAACAGTTTCCTTCCTGTAGTCGATGGTTCAGAATTAGGGAAGGCACCACACTATCTGGTATTTCAAGATGTGGAGGAACAACAAAATGACTTGGATCAATTGGTAAGTTGAAAAAATATCTGGCAAATAACCTTTAATCATAAGTAAATATAAGGCATTGCATTTGGTTTATCATTATTTAGATAACGAATGGGAACCCTTCAATAGTGTGACTGAAGAAAATAATATTGGTTTGGTGATGGATAATTCGCTAAAGCCATCTGCTGCTAATAGAAACCTTCTAGAATTTTAGGGGTGTATTTATAGACGATTTGAGTACAGGTCAAGAGAGGTAATTATATCTGTATACAAATCACTTGTTAGGCCTCACATGTAAAACTGTGTACAGTTTGAGTCTGTTTATCTAAAAAAAAAATACAAACGATATGTATATTGATTTACTGGAAAGGGTTGAGAGGAGGGATATTTAGACGATTCTGGGTGCAGAAGTGTTATCTTATAAGGACAAACAAGTTTTAAGAAGGGGATATATTATTAAGAGAAAATATTAAGGGTTAATTGAATGTTTTGCTATTTTTCTAAGGGACACCCTTGAAGAACATAATGGTCCCTAGTTGTTCGTATGTTATGTTAACACATAAGATTTATTTAGTGAAAATATAACTAATAAGAAATACTTAAACATGTCATGTTCAATTATTGTTGGAAATTTTAAAGAAGAATTCTAAGCTGTTCGTTGTTTTTCCTAATACACGACTCAAACGTTTTCGAGAAAATTGTCATAACAACTTCATATTTTATAGAACTGAGTATGAAAGTTGTTATTCATAGAACATTAACTCAAAGTTCATTGCTTGAAGCACGTGTGTAAAGAACATTACATCTATTCTCGCATTCATGGTGGTAAGAAATTGGGATAACTAAGCTTAATGTTTCTCACAAATCACTTTCAACACACGAACTCTAATTCTAACCCCATTAACTTCATGAAATAATAACAGTTCGTGCATGCATTGACCCGTCTGTGCGAATACATAGATATTATTGAACTTAAGAACACGAGACCATAGTATTGCTTTTAGGTTTAGCAACTTTTTATAAATTGCTTTTCATACTCGTTTGAATGATGTCATCAGAAAGGGTTTCAGAAGCTTCTTATTAAGAAGAAACTTCTGGTGGGTCGGTGACCTGGCCCCGACTGAAGAATCTAGGTCACAGAACTCCATCAGGTCTGTGATAGAACGAGTAAGAAAAGTCTGTATATATACACACATGTACACTGAAGAAATAGATTGGCACTAAAAATAAAACGCTTTATGCGTTCCCCTACGCGATGTTTTTGAAGACACCATCAGGCTTAGACTATAACCAACATATACATCGTCTGTTTACCACAAGACGTCCTCATTCATACTGGGTAAATAAATTATACGGTTTCAGGCAATTACCTGTATCTATATCAGAAAGGAATGCGAGCGAAGACGTGTCTTAAGACATGTTTTCTAAAAGACCATATAAAAACGATTATTTGTTTCCTGTACTATTATTTATTCATGAATCAGTATTCAAAACCGACTTATTCAAATAATAACTTTATAAATATTTCAACGAAGAAACAGCTACTTTATTTTAATCTTATCAACTTCTTCATTAACAGTAATTTACTTGTGCTTGGGAATTTCATTACCAGTCTCCCTGTTATGAAACTTCACATAACAAATTAAAGATAGATACTACGGAAAAAGTTATTTTTAGATATTATGCCTATTTGTTCTCAATTCTAGTTTTATATTGGATTTTCGTATTATCTAATATTAAAATTAGGGATTAGAAATAACATCATTATTCGAGGCTTATTTAATAATCTATTGTAATTAACTCTTAAAATTATGTCTATTTGTTTTGAATTCCAATGAAATATAGTATATTGTATTATCTAATATTAATGTTGGAAATCGGCATTAATGTCATAACTCAGGCTTATTTAATAGTCATACCTCCAAAGTGATGGAGCAGTTTTCTGTGAATACCAGTTTCACTTGCCAACCATCAGATGGCAGCACATCACTGTCAGCTGGTACCACTGGTACAACTACCATTGTTCCTTGTGCATAAGTGGGATTTGTAGCTCCTGGAACATTTAGGAAAAAACGGTAAAAACACGCAACTATCCCGACGATATTCAGTTCCCATATCAGCAAATTTATATAACACTAAAGCTATAAGTTAAAGACCGGCTGAGAAATGTCTAAACGTTAATCTATTTTTGAAAGTATAAAACAGGTAAACGTTCGTCAAGCTCACTACAAATGTCAACTAAGAATATAAAGGTAAAAAAAAAAAGGTTCAGAATTATAAAAGTAAACGTTTATCTGTATGCAATGGTGTAAACGCTAAGATTATTAGAACTAATAATGACACACTGATAATCCATTCTGAGAATTTTCGCTTCTTTATAATGCTCTTCAATTGAATTTGTAACAAACAAAATCTTATAACATTAAAACGAAAGATTATGAACACGTTAATGTGCTAGAAATAAGTAATATTTTAATCCATCGATATTCATCAGTACATTATAGCAAAAAAATGCAAATATTAATTTTACTGATATCTGTTAGGCATAAATAAGCAATATTCATTCTTAGACCGGGTACATATTCCAGATTTTTTTGTTCCATTATGAAGTACCATACTGTAAATCTACATTAATTCTGAACCTAACGCCATATTCTACCTTATATTCACCTTTCAATGTGAAAACAAGACAAACGGCGTCTTTTTCATCATTGTAAGCTCTGTTGAACGTGATCTTAACCTTGAAAGGAAACCCTCGGCGCAAAACAGGTTTTGGAGATTCTTTCTGGACCAGGTCGTACTCCATAGTATAATGATTGTTTGCATTTTCAGATACACAGAGATCAATACTTTGGACAACCAATACTTGATCATCAGTAGAGCCACCTTCAGGAGCTGGAAAAAATATTCATAGTTGATGATTTATTTCTGGAAACTTTTTACAATACGCATACTGTTTAAAGAACTATAATCCTTACTCTGGGATCTGTTTTATTTAATTATATTATATTCGAAATTGCGGTATTTTCTGACAGGTTTTGGGAGTATATATTTGACCAGTTATTCAGAACGTTTCATTTACTTTGACTAAACATTCAAAACCGGAATTTTTATAGTCGGTGAATCAGAGGTGCTTTTGTCAAGTTTTACTACACCGATATATGAATCTATCGTTAGGCTGATAAGAATAATCGTCTATATTAATGAACTCGGCGGTTTAAAAAAGTACCAATCTCTGAAAGTACCTACAACAATATACATTACATCAAACAGCTTATAAACTTCGCAATAATGGTATAATGATAGCACCTTATTGCGACGATAATATAATAATTATGACTTACATCTCTATTTCGGAGTATCTTAAACGCACAAGTTAACTCAAAAGTGACTGCTGATACTCCAAAACAAACAAAAACGGTTTAATATTAGGCCTAATTTACGACAAACCAGAGAAGTCGATCTGTTAATGTAAATAACAGCATGGTATTCTATATGTGGATGATGATACAATTAATTGTTGTCCATTAGAAACAGATAAAAATGTTAACATTTTGATATATATATATATATATATATATATATATACTAAAACGTGAATCAAATACCATTTATTAGTTGACAATGTCATTAGTTTTTATATACTTTATTTTTCATTAAAGTACAAAAGAAACCCATAAAAAAACAAAGTGATAAATTATGTGTGATATCATAACCTTTTTAAACCATATTTAGATACAGACATAAAAATACCTTACAAGTGTGGCTGGCATTCCACATAAAGACATGGTTTACGATTAGTATTAGTATTTAATTCATTCGGGTTTCCTAATTCATACCCTAGCTGCAGTATGAAAATAATACCACAAAACTTACAGGCATATAAGTCAATAATTAATTTATTTTATGCCACCGACAAAGTACATAAGCATCAATTTGTACATTTGCATATGATTTTCTGTATGCATATTAACAATTATACTGAGGTTTACTACGTTATATCAGAACGAGTTTAGAGCCTCACCACGTCGTTATAATTCAAGTCACCACGTTCAATTATGCTCCGTCTAACGACCGTGCATCTTGACAACAGTTCTGCACGTAGTTTCCATTTTAAAATGTTCTGTCGTGAGATTGTCATATCAAAATTATACACCACTCATCCATGCAGGCTTTCCATATTTCATCTAGTGAACAAAGGCGACATTTCCCCTAGCGACTATTTCACTAGTTCAATCACACAAAAATTCATAAGTGACTTGACAGGCATGTCTTTGTGCGGAATTGTATGAATAACCGTTTCACTCTCCAGCTGCTGAAGTTATACTACAAAGTAGTTTGTGTAGTCGGGAAATGTGTCGTTTTCCAAAAGGAAATCCTTCTTGATTATGTTGCACATTGTTTACCACGGCAGGGACACGACTTGTCACAGGTTTCTTTCTGAATTGTCCTGGTGCCTCAAGTTGATCCAGATTCCTTTGTTTTCCAATGAATTTACGTTCAAGGATATCTCAATCTTAGAAATACTAAATCCCTGATTTCAACACATCTTTCTCACATGAGTGTATAAATGTTTTGCATCGAAACGAGCTGTTATATAACCTTCTCCAAAAGCGATCAATTTTTTTTTGTGATATCACACTACCTATGAACGACAAACAATGCCAAAAGGCAGTTCTAATGCACTTCGTGCCACCGTGACTTTATATTAGATTTGGTTGTCACGTGACTTCCTGATTTGCATATTCAAATAGTTTGATGTAACGTATCCAACCTTCTTTAATCTGTTATTCAGGAAATACAGTTTCATATGTAAAATAGGTAAAAAAAATGTCGTGATTATAATAACAAATATATTTTCAAACCAAAAACAATAAACAAAGTTCCAATACCAACAAGAACACAGACGTTTAATGTGAATAGTTACGTAAAATTTAATCTTTGAAGTTCCATTGCCGAACTGCTACACAAAAATAAATACTGCTACACAAAAATAAATAAACAGCTGCTCCGAAATACACTTAAGAAATTTAAATTCAAAACGTTTCGGCCTTAGGCCTAAATTGGTATTTCGGTATATCATCTGTTGTAGGCCTAAGACCAAAAGGTCGTGTGCTGAAACTAATGTTTGTTTATTGAGTGTATTTGAGGGCAGTTATTTCATTAATATTTTGCATTTCTAAAAATGACTAGATTATATTTTAAATGAATGTTTGTTTATTGTAGCTTAATATTTATTTGTTATTTCTGTTTAACTCTATGTATTTGTTTGGTGTGTAGCTTGGAATAATCACTTAAACAGGCGTCTCTGTTTCTCGTGTGCTGAAACAGGTTTTTATCTTAAACCGATCATTGTGTCACCAGAAGCGACGACATACTTTAACTCCTGAAGCTCACATTCTTCTTTATCATACATTATGTGTCACTTATCAAGACACGACATCACTGGATGCACGAGATAATAAATAATGTCACACCGATTTTTTTTTACGCCCTCCCAAAATTATAAAACCTTGAAGTATTGCCAAAACAGCTCGTTGGACGACCTTCGTTTTGTCCGCCAGTACACGGGTCACGTGATCATGCATGTTTACGGCATCGTTGCTACAACAGAAATATATCTCGTGACGTAAGCAAAGGGGGTGGCATCAGATAGAAACTAACACGACAATCTGCATTTGACGTTTAGAAAGGATGGTTTTTTTTAGACTTGTCGGAAATACTTCCTTTGTAAGGATATGCATTAAGAGCATTTTATGAGAAACGGGAATTCTTAAGGGTTTAAAATACCAAGGTTACATTAGTACTACTTTTAAACACCATTCGCCATTTGTCATTTCACCATCCTGTGAAAATAGCAGTCATTAAAATCTATAAAGTTTTTGTATTGAACTTTGAAAAGTTATTTACATCACGAAATTAATATGTGGAAAGTATGTGAACTCAGGCATGGCAGTGATAACCATCCATTAAGATAACAATAAAGCATTTATATGTTTCTATACAGATCCGTCTAATAGTAAGATTAACATTCATATTTTCATTTTGGTAATGAATTTATAAAGATGTATTATCTATTTTAAAAGTTCTCATAAGTGGACAAATGTTCGAGTGTTCTAGTTCGCCACCGAAGGACGCTGGATATCGTGAAGAACTTTAACTTATAGTAAATTTCGTATCACGGAGACAAATACCCAAAATCTTTTTATTGGTAATGTTATGTTAATACTGAATGGGTGAATACGAAGAAACCTTTCAAAAAAGTGTTTCCTTTAACATATTGTAAACTATATTATTAATTGCAGATTAAATAGAATAGATGGGACATTATATGACCCTGGGAGAGAACCGCGGATTTTGGAGCTGACGAACCGGGATCGAATCCGCGTGAGACCACAAAATACTCTCCTCACTTTAAGCTGTGTGTGTATAGGTATTAACCAATATTGCTCATTGGTTTTATTTTTAATTTGAGCTTTACACGTGCTAAAAGATCCTTCAGCTCTCTGGCTACCATTTTTGTTTTTTTTAATGAAACTCCTTATTACTTCTAAACAACAAGTCGCTTGTCTCAGACATCAAGCCAAGCTTGAAACAGCTTTCATAACAAAGATATGAAAGATGCCACGTTGAGTGATTGAAATGGACTTGAAGATCATAGATAAGTAAGTTCAGGGTAGACTGTGGAAAGAGATCATATTAAGTAAATGAAACAGGCTTTCAAACCACACATAACTGAAGCCAGGATAACAAACTGTTGAAAGAGATCATATCAACTAAATGAAACAGGCTTTCAAACCACACATAACTGAAGTCAGGATAACAAACTGTTGAAAGAGGTCATATCAACTAAATGAAACAGGCTTTCAAACCACACATAACTGAAGTCAGGATAACAAACTGTTGAAAGAGATCATATCAACTAAATGAAACATGCGACCAGAGATAAGCAAAGCAAGTATAACTGGCAGTATACATAAGCAAGTATAACTGGCAGTATACATATAGTCATGGCTAAAAGAACATTGGTGCAAACACCACATCTAGGCAGCACGGATAGCTTCAAGTTGCTGCGATTGAAATGTAGCACAATTGAAATACAAGTCGATGGTACTTTTCCCCCTCCTCTTCAGGATATTTAAGTTGTTCTAACTTTCTTGTACAATATAATCTGCCTATTTTTTCTCTCACTCTCCATAAATAATTATCGAAGATTGAAATCACACTTAGCACATGACCTAAGGAAGAGTAAGAACTAATTATGATATTGTCTTATGACCTAATTTTAACAAAACTAAATCACTTGAGCTCTGGCAGACATGACATTTTCAACTAGTTGAACCAGACTCTACAAAATGGATTGAAAAAGTCTTACTAGCATACAACCAAACAGTTAACAAAACATAACGTACATCTATCATGAGGATTTAATACAAATAATTTATTTATATTTTCGGCCAAATATATTTGCAGTTCCTAGTCTTTTCGAGTTCCTTAGGTAAGATAATCTCTCTTTTTTTCTTTGTAGTTACGTTCATTAATAAGTATTCGTTGGAATGTTTAATGTGTCTAGTATTTATTACATTTTAAGTTTTATTTTTAGTGTTACTTGCATTATAAAGATTGTTTGCATTAGTTTAGTATATGTATTTAAGACTAACCTAACTCTCTCAAGCTGGCCGAATCTCGTGAGATGTTATTGGGTTTACAACCGAAATTGTCGTTAACAACGAGGAAGTGCAATTGATGAAATAATACAATCTAATCTTTATTCAATTTAATTTAATTAGTAATCAGGAATATTGTACTTGTACTAAGGATATTGTAATTATTGCTTTAATGAACAGTGTTATCTGTTATCTGAATATTTGTTATCTTAACTAGGCATAACTTTA